ATGAGACTATCTTCTTCCTTGAGGTTTCATTTGAAACCCTTCAATGGAGTAGTCCCTCATTTATGTGATCAAACCCATACTATTGCTTCATTAAGGTATTGATTTCTCTTCGTATATTTTTAATTCCTACCTCATTTCCATCATCAAAGCTTGCTGTAATTCTTAATTTAAAGTAACTTCTTCATTTTTTATCATGAAAACTTGATATTTGAATAGTCTCAAAGCAATAATGTAGTCCATACACATAGTATGTATAGACTAGCTTGCTTACTCCATGATCTTGAGTAGTTTCAACTTGATTTTCTTGATCTTATTTTTCTGAAATTTTTACTAGGACTATACAACTGATGAGAGATTTATTTCATCATATTTGAGCATAAGAAATAGTCCCTTGCGTTCCTTTTTTAATACTGAAAAGTTCGTTTGGTCCCTAATGGACCACATGGTGTAGTTTCATCAAAACTTCCTTATTTTGTGTAGTATCCCTCTCTAACTTTGAAGGGTTATTTTGATATATGTCTCTCTCATGATTTGATCCCCATTAAGTGAAATAAAAGTGATCATTTGCTTCCCATTGGATTGATCTCCTTGAGTTATTATTATCACCCGTGCCTTAGACAATAGGACAAAATTAAGTCATCAAAAGGCCATTTCGTGGCCCTGGCACAAGGGGTTTGAACCATGGTTTCTCCATGCATGTTTACATGTTAATTTGATGTATTTACAGTTATTACATGGATTCATGATTGGTTAAATTGAGTATGTTGTGTGTCTATTGATATTGTTCTTTAATCTTGCGATATGAACTTTAATGCTATCCATTATTGTTTATGCGAATTGAAATCTTATCGAATTATTATGATCTAGTGTATGATGTGTATGAGACATTATGATATATGATGTGGATGAAGAATGAAGATGCAATTATCACAATTTTGATATAATGAAGAATTGTGAGTGCAAATCATACAATATGTTGTAGAGATGTACATTGTGAATATTTGAATATTGTATTGAGCTAATTGTATTTTTGAGTAAGGGATTTGTAAGGAACCTATTAGGGTTGAATTTTATTATTCAAATGTGTATAAACCATGTTTGCAGGCTGGAATATATGTATTATGGTTTTGTATTGAGATACTCATGCATTTAAACCCTTGAGCTTTTATACAATGGAAATTTTTAAAAAGATTGCATTTCTAGCCCATTGGTCTTATACCACCAACGTAGATTGGGGTTGTTTGAGGAAACTTTGACAAGAATTGGAGACATCAATTTGCGTTGAGCGCGAGGATTGGGGGATTAGCCTCAAAATTTTGGGCTTTTTTTTAATTTAAATTTATATATTTGATTTATTTTTTTCCTGTTACAACTCAATTTAACTGAAATATTGCATTTGTTGTTTTTTTCATTTTATCAAAAAAATGAGTAAGATTCGGGTTCTTTTCAACTTTCATACATACAAAGAGACTTCTTACAAGTTAGAGACATTATTATTCTTTATAATGTTGGGTCCATTTTTAATGTCATGATACTGATTATATCTTAAAATAGGGTTTTTAAGCATGTAGCCTGCTTCAATTGTCTTGAAAGTAGTATTCTCTTTAGAAAAATTAGCTCAATTTTTTTAATTATATTGATTCGTAAAAAAATGTTTTCATAGATGTATTAACATAATTGTTGCTAATTGTTTCTATAAAAAATTTCATGATACCAATTAATCTTTTATTGCTTTTTTGTGTATCTAGCGTGCCTTAACTGTTTTAAAATTAGTACTCTCAGTTTTTTTTTCACGTTTTGATGCATAAAAAGATGTTTTTATAGATGCATTAAAACAATGTTGCTAATCGAATTTTTTTTAACTAAATGTTTCTAACAAGATATATTTTGAATGCCTTTGATATATTTTAATATATGTATATTGATGTCCATAAAAATATTTGGTATGTATAACATTAGTTTACTCAACAATTTTAAATTTTCAGATCAAGATATACATAAATATATCTATATATGTATATTGATGTCTATAAAATATTTGGTGTGTATAACATTTATTTTACTCAACAATTTAAATTTTTCATATTTAGATATACATAAATATATCTTGGTTAGGTGTTTATGCCTTCACCATGCTTGCTTTCGGATGTTCAGGAGACATCGAGGAAGATCCTGCATAGCAACATGGAGTGAGGATGTCAGAGAAGGGTTCGGGGTGGGTGTGATGTGGATATTGTGAGAAGGACATGACAGGCGGAGCTAATCACGTAAAATGTCACCTCCCCAAAATTCATGATGATTTATAAAGCCTTCTATAAACATGCATGTGCAAGTTAATGACCCAATGCAGAAAGCTATCAAGGTAGTAAAGGGAAAGAAGGTGCACAGGCAAAGGGTCATTGGGGAGCCCTTTGTGAGACTTTGAGCCTATGCCTCTGAGACTATTGAGTTAGTGCTTGTGTGTATGTGAGACGCTAAGTCTGAATCCATACAGTGTGGACATTTTTTAGTGCAAAGCGATGCCTAACTTAATCTTTACACTTCATTTTTTACAGTGAAGTGAAAAATTGATGGGCCTCATTTCAATTAGCAACACTGGAGTAGCGAAAAATTATAAACTACAGTAGCATTTGGTGTTCTGTTAATTTTTCAGATAATTTCAGCCAATAACATAAATTTCTCATCATTTCCATCTTTTATATGCGCTTTATGTTGCATATCACTTTTTTCATTACTAATTCGTTCTTTGTTTAGGGATTTTTCGGCATCTTTCCCATTGGAACTTTTTTGGGGCTCTTGGGCAGCTCAGTGAGGACTCAAGTATGGTCACCGTGATCTCCCAACCAAGGTGTCTAGCCCTCTCACCCTCTTTAGTAGGTCATGAGTTCGAACCTTGAGCTTCATCTCAATGCGAAGTAACAGCTACATTGCATCATGAGTACACTTCTAAGAATTAATTGCATGTTCTATCCATTTTGGGCTCGTTATTAGGTCGCGAATTACCATGAGCTTCATCTTCATACTTATGTTTTGCACTCAAAGAAGTACCAAACTATTAATTATAGAATGACTGGGTTTCTTACATTTTAGAAATAAAAATTTTGAATCTTTTAAAAAATCATTTTATTATAAATAATAAAAATGGATTACGCTCTTGACCTAGGGAACCCTAGTTAGGTGAACACATGGACCTCAATTTTTAAGCAGATAGAGTGCAGACCTGTAGAATTTATCATTAGATCACTGGAAGTTGGGATCGATCTCCCCAACATACTGCGATGTCGATCCCTAAATTTTGGGGTGAACAGATAGTGATCCCAAACCTAAGGACCCTCTAGCCTTTCATGATCCCTTGCTCCCAATCCAATCTAGGAAATGGTCCAGCTCTTGATTCCAATAACTATGGAATCAGGTGAGTTGACTCAAAGTCGCCTGAGTCACTCACCTCACCCATGGGGCAAGTTCTATGGTAAGCCATTTACACCACACAGTTATTTTGTTCTATGTCAGCTTTATAAATTGATTTTTTTCATTCTTTCATATTTGACAAAAGTTGAATATCAAGGCTGCATTGTTTCACATCAAAGCAAGTTATCCCAGGGTCTTCAAGTACAAAACTAGAAGTTGCGACCAAGGGGGCAAATCTCAACTCAAGAATAAGGCCTCAATCGATAACCAAGATGCAGACATGTAACTAAAATAAACTATGACTGAGTTACTACAAAGACTAGATCATAATCATCATCCATCATCATCAAAATCCAAGCCTTATCCCAATTATGTGGGTTAGTTACATGAATCTTGTTCTTCCATTCTTCTCCATCAAGGAACATACCCTCAGTAAGACCAAAAGTCACCGTATCTTTTCTCATTACCTCTATCCATTTCCTTTTTGGATCTTCCTTTTCCCTTATCGAGCCGCCTCCTACGTGAACCAAATCTTATCTCCTAGCCAATGCCGTATTAGGTCTACGTTGCACATGCCCACCTAAGTCTACTTTCTCTCATCTTATTGCCTATTGAAGCCCCTAAGACTAGATCTCACCAAAGAAAATATACAATCGCCACACTAGCATGGAAGAATCCCAAATATCAGATATGGCGATTACAAGATTGAACATCACGGAAAGATAAGATGCCACCCATTTCATCAACAAAGGACCCTGACCCTGATGCCAAGAGTGTCCCTAAATTATAGTATTCTTTCAAGGAAGATAGCATACATATGGTAGTATGTCATCTTCCTTGATAGGATGTAGTTCTCTCCCTAAATGCGGGGAGCTTGGTTGGGGGTGATGATCCTTATGGGACTTTTAGGCTAAAAAGTTCTCATTGTTCACGTTTCGGTAATGCTAAAAACTGGATTATACATTTATCAAAACTTTTACAGATAGTACATATATCAAGCTGTTCCCAAGCCAGCTTCCTCGACAACACTCCCAGATGCACCCAAAGTATGGAGCTTCAGCCATTGGTGGATCCCATTCTCCCGCACCCACTCCCACTCTTAACAACTATGGTTCTATCAAGTGGGCAAGTCAGCCAAGAGAAGGAAATGTGGAGGATGAAAAAAAGATCAACACTATTATAGATAGTTAGCAAGAATTTCTCAACCAAGACAATGTACATCTGCATTGATCACTGTGAAGACAAGCTAACACAATCAATAAGTAAACCAGGGAAAATATCATACAACACCAAATAAAACTAACCAGAACTAGTATAACCTAATTTTCCGGTTCTTCACGCCAAATTAGCATTCTTTTGAAATAGCCCTAAAAAACTCAATTCAAGACGTTCAGATTCAACAGTACAAGCCACATGAATGTGTGCACCACAAGATTCTTTTAATCTCATACAAGCAATAAGAGCAGGGGAAAAAAGAATTTGAAAGAAATAAGAGCAGGGAAAATTGAACTATTAAAAGCATTAGTACAAATGTTTCTTTATATCCAATGCAAAATACAATTAGTTGCAGAAATCTTAAGATTATAACTTACTTGTGATTCCGTACAAAATATATGAGCATCATCCTGCAAGCATACACAACAACATAATCATATCCAGTAAGCAGGGGCTCAAGTTGAAAGATATCCACATAAAATAATGATGAGAACATGCATAATTAGCAACACCAGATTAGCACATATCATGACAATGTCAGAAAAATGATTTAACCTCTGGAGCACCCAAGTGATACACAAATTTTACAACATAAACTCTCAAGTGTTAATTTGCTAATGCATACAATTACAGCAATAAAAGCAAACAAGAAAAAGAGAAGGGACTGGCCATCTTTTCCAGAATGATAGATATAAGTGCTTGCACATATTTTTGACGCATATGGCAAACCATCTTCTCCAGAATGATAGATATAAGTGCTTGCACATATTTTTGACGCACGTGGCGAACCTGATCCAAAGGCTCATTTGAAACAGGAGGACAGTTATTTGGGCATTGTCTCGCCCCAAAAATCCATAAAAGATAGGGGGGTGGTGACAAATCCCAGTGAAATACAGCCCACATATGGCGAATGAGTGGGGTTGCCAACCCTGGCAGGAATACGGCAATGTACATGCCAAAAAACTATCGGAAATGAGGAGCATAGTTGAAGGCCCCCCAAACAGATGCATACTGAGCCATGAGCATTGAGGTTCCTTATGGGCCAAATCAACTACGGAATACAATATAAAAGAGTATAACCAAAGCAAGGTAAGACAGATGCAACCCAAAATGAGCAAAAAGATAAGTCCTAAATATCCCCAAGATATTCCCCTAAAAATCGGCTCAAAACAATGTCAGGTAGGGGAGGTATGGCAAACACAAGCTGTAGAGCATAGAAAAGAGACCAAAATTACTAAATAACCCTTGGGAGTTGGCCTCCAATGGCCCCAAAACCCTCACGGATGAAATTGGGTGACCGAAAAACCTTCACATAGAAGTTTCACATCATTTTGATGTTGTTTGGTCACATTTCCTAAAGAATTGGGTGTGGAGCATACTATTTAGAATTAATTTTCATGCTCCTTCAAAAAAACAGGCGCAAAATTCTGGAGAAAAAAAAATAGTATTTTCCACAACCATACTCCCAAACCCTATAGAGCTTGCATTCGAGGTATGGATAAGGTATCTTTTGTTGAAAGATGATGAACATCTAGAGAGAAGTTGGGTATTTTTTATGCCATGTAATTTTCATACCCCATAATGACCCATAGCTGGTTTTCTTGCGATTTCTCTCGATCCGGGAGGTCTTTTGGATGAGCCTTGTGGATCGGATTCGTGACTTGATAAGCTTTTCGATGATATATGGAAAGTAACAATCAACCCGAAGATGACTCGCGAAAATGGTAATTATTGATGTCCAATTTGGAAACCATGCTAAAATAATGATTTTATCCTCTTCCAATGCTCACAACTTAATCCATGGATTTTATTTAGCAATTTTTTGGGCAAAACGACCATGGGATCACGGTCTTCGATTTCATAGCCTAGGAATAAGGAAATCTGACGAGAATTCAACGGGGCAAAAAAAATTATGTATAAAAAGATGCATAAAGCTGGATTTTGGAAAATCATCACAACAGACCAAAAACTCCACCAAATTGTTTTGACAAAATTGATGCAACTTGATCATGATGAAATGCTCTACAATTTGGCAACGACCGATGGCCCATTTTCGTGTTAGAAATCAAGAAATGAAGGCCACATACCATAGGTATGGGTTGAACGAAGCTTTTAAAAGTATGGTAGAATTTTAGACATTCTTGACGTCCCAAAGCTACACTTTTGGATTTGGACGAGAAAGAAAGTTGATAATCTATCCACCTATTTTTCCAAAAGTTAATAATCCACCTTTGTTCTAAACCCTCAATACATAAAAGCATTAGCCCTTCACTTTTGAAGGGGGAGCTCATTTGATAGGTTTAGGGTATAAAGAATTCTAGAGAGAGAGCCCTCTTGGAGCGAGAAACCCTCACCTAGAGCTTAGAGAGAGAAACTCTCCTAGAGAGAGAGAGAGTAAACTAAGGAGAAAAACTCCTCGAGAGAGAAACCCTAGCTTTACCTCTAGGCTCCCCAAGTTCTAGGGAGAAACTCCAACCCCATCAAGACCCAAACAAGGCATACAAAATCAACCCAAAGTTAGCAAGAGAGAGAGAGCATCAGAGCATATCCCAGTCCCCAAAACCTGGTTATCTAAGAAGGTTGGCTACACCAGCCCAAGAGATCCTGAACCCATCAAGTATTTTCTTTGCTTAATTGAAGGATTTGTTTTTCTTGTTTTCTTGTGTGCGTTTGTTTTAATTTTGGACTCAATTTTATACATATTATCACACACACGCGCACACACATAGAAATCGGCCACATGTCCTTATGGCTCCTCCACTGGAAAAATTGGAAGTTGCCGGTTTGTGTTGCGTGTTCGAGTTGTGATGATTTTCTTTTTTTTTTTTTTTTTTTCTTTTCTTTTTTTTGACTCCAATTGGATAAGACAAGAATTTAAGCATCATCTAATTTTCATTAAACAATTCACCAAACAATTACCTTGTTGTGGATTTCGACCATCCCAGGTCCATGTAGCAGGCCCTCTTAGACAACCCAATTATTGGGTATCAAGAGGAGCCTTGCACTCTGCTACAACGCCTTGAGAGGGATGGCCTTTTGGAACGTACCCTAGATTTCTCCTAAAAGGAGGGCACCCCACTAGCCCCTAAGGTTTTATGCATTGAGTGGGTTTTAGGCAAGTGGGTAGACTTGTCTTTACTTTGCATGTCAAAGGGTAGTTTGGGCATTTTCACCTAATTCAAGTAGGGTTCTGAAGTGGAGATTAACCATGGTTAAGGGAAGGGTTTGGGGTTTCCCACTGTGGGGAAAGGGTTTCTCATTCTAGAATTCCTAAACTCTCAATTACAACAAATGATTTCCCCCCTTGAAAATAAGGAGCTTATGGCTTTATATAGCAAGAGTCCTAAACATGGGTGCATTATTAACTTTTTAGGAAATTGGTACCAGGTCTCATTCAAGTCCAAACTAAAATAGTAGCTTTTGGCGATCAACAGTATCCAAAATTCCACTACACATACTCAAAACCCTTACTCAATCCATAATTTCTAATGCCAAAGTGGATTTTCTATTGCCACTAAATCGTGGAGTATTACAACACAATCATTTTGTACCAAATTTGCACAGAAAACTCCTAGATGTTGTAAAGTTTTGGGTCTTTTGCGATGAATTTTGAAAATTCAGCTTTATGCATCTTCCCCTACACAATTTCCTCTTATTTGATTGGATTTGTGCTGGTTTTTCTTCATTGCGGTACCAAAATTTGTAAGCGTCAATCCCATAGTTGTTTCGCACCAAGAATCGCTCAACAGCCCCCATAGTGGGCTATCAACATTTGAAGAGATAAAAATCATGATTTCAGCGGGGTTTCAAATCAAATGTCGATCATTGCCGCTTTCGTTCGTCATCCTCGGGTCAATCATTGCTTTCGATATAACAACAGAAAGCTCATTCAGTCAGGAATCCAATCCAAACAAGTTTCATCAAAACAGACACCCTAAATCGACAAATATTACAGGAAAACCGGCTATGGGTCATGGGGCATGAAAGTTGCACGACGTAAGAAGTACCCAATTTCTCTTTACATTTTCATTATCTTCCAACGAAAGATACCCCTCGATATGCACCTTGTCAGAAAGCTTATGAACTGTAAGACACCATATCCGAACCACGGATCTAAACTCCACGGAATTTGGGAGAAAGCAGCAATGGAAAATATGACAAGCTAAGTGTTTTTGCAGAATTTTGGCTTATTTTTGAAGGAGCAAGAAAATTAATTATTGAATAATATGCAAATCTTTTAGTAAATGTGATCAAATGACGTCGAAAATAATGTAAAACTTGGGGGTTAGGTCTGTCCGGTCACCTAATTTCATTCGTGAGGGTTTTGAGCCCCTTAGGGACTGATTTCCAGGGGCTCCTTTGTAATTTACTCCCTTTTCTATGATCCACAACTTGTACACTATGTTCCACAGATTATTTTCACAGTATATTCTTCATCCAATATCATTTTGAGCCGCATTTTGGGGGCCATCTTAGGAGTCCATCTTATTTTGCTTTAACCATGCTCTTTTATGCGAAATCGACGACAGATCAGAGCTATAACTGGCCCAAAGCACATGGTCTTTATTTGTAGGGCCTTCCACCATAAAAAATGAGGATCCCTCGAATTCGGGCCCAAGTTGCATCCATTTGGGGGCCAAATTGTCACTTTCCATTTTCTGGCAGTTTTCTGAGATATTTGACATTGGATTAATGTCGGAGTTGATGCCCTTGTGTACTTGAGATCTATTGGCCGCTTCTAACTAAGAAATATTATCTATCCTATATTTCGAGTTTTTGGGGGCATGATGAGGCCCAAATACCAGCTGCCAGTTTCAAATGGGCCTTCCAATATGGGTCAGTTTGCCATGTGATGTAAAAATTCGTGTAAACAATAAGTAATGTTGGGTATTTATATACAAGTAAATGATATTATGTACAAGTAGATTCCTGCATGTGTGTGCCCATGTGTATGTTCCTTTGCTACATAATGCTCTTAGACTAACTGAAATGAGGAGCACAAACAGTAATTCAGGAACTAAATAAGTTAATAGGGCATATAAAGGTAATCATATTGCCTCAATATTAGTTTTGAAAAAATAATATTAGACTTAATAATAAACTTGGAAAAAACAGCCCCTTTTAGATAAGCATTCAACTTTTACAAAGGATACATTAGGTAAGAAGGGAGACCAATTATGCTTGCATTCAGATATCAAACTTCAAATACTGATAACAAGCTATCTTCCTTGCCTCATTAACCAGAAAGAGTCTGTGACCTAGGTCTTATAAAAACTTGTGACCTCAAAATCAATAAATAGTTGGTCGTCCATTTAATGATTGAGATGATTTAACTTGCAAGAACAATGGAAAGTTGGAACATATGCATCTATAGGAGTCATAAGAAAAGCCAGCAATTCGGACAATATAACCCGACTGCATCTATATCAGTTATGGGCACATATTTGCAACAAAACATATAATTAAGATATGTCAAGTAAAGTACGGCAATGCACCTGTTGGAACCTCCGAACACGAGTTAAACCAGTAAGGGCACCACTGAGTTCATTTCGATGCAAAACCCCAAAATCTGCCATGCGTATAGGTAACTCTACAAGGCCAATATGAGATTGTAAAATTCTCATACTAGTAATAGAATACACAAAACATATCTAGCAGAAAGAAGTATGCACTTTGCTTTCTAAAACAGTGATGCAAAAGTCACTATCCATCTAATGAAATATGATACACCAGAACTATGTTTCATGGATTGCCATACCTGTGTTGGACACATATCGAAACACATACGGATTCGGATTCTTCTAATTCTTCAACTTGTTAATTAACAATTATTATATCCTTTTAGAGACTTGATCTTTTTTATTTTGAATCGACGAATGAAAACTTTGAAAATGCCCATGGAATTTTAAAAACAAGCTACGGTTTCATCCAATTAAGGTTTGTTGATTATTTTTGCTACTTCTCATTAAATAGGATATTAGTAAACATTGTTGGATTTAGTTTTCTTTGTCATATTGCCACGTCGCTAAATCCTCTTCTTCATGGCATGAGGAATCCAACCCCCTTACCTGTGTTGGACATGGACACGCATACCCATAGCAATGACACATAGCTCCACAACAAAGCATTCAAATCAAGTTCCAAATGAAAAGTACACGATAAATATTTATTTTAGTAATCCAATGAATGTCAAGCTACAAGGCTAAAAAGAAAGCTACCCCTGTATGACCGAACTCTATGTTCAAACATAAGACAATGCCCAGGGCAGTTCATCGGCTTAAGTGCAAATTCTTGTTTTTCAACCTACATAAAATACATGAAGATTGAGATCAGAGTAGAAAAGCCAGAAAGCTTAACATAAGAAGTAACTTAAATGTAAAGAAAAATTTTTATGGATAAAAAATCCTTAAAGACACACAAGTAGAAAAAGTACCCACAGAATGCATTCCTGGAAAACACAAATCATATGGGGATAATGTGAAGCACAATCATGCATATAATATATTACTTTGGGGTAAATATACTAATCACAACTTGGTTTTGGTATATAATAGGGCATCCACCATCCACTCTCAAGGCAAAAAGTAGAGGTGAACAGTAGTTTCGGTGATCGATTTCCCCAGTAGAACAATGTACATCTTAAGCCTTTCCATTTTCAGAACAAATTGTGGAGGCCCTAACTGTGTATTATATACCATGCACAAGAAGTAATCTTACCCCAAATTAATACATGTTAATAAAAATATATACCACCGGAATTTAATTAGAAAGGACAACAAATTGACCTCAAAAACAAACATGTTTTCCTTGTAGTTCGCAGCATGCCCTGATGTGTCCCAGAGTTGCATGTTGTATATGTTTGGCGATAAAACCTGAAAAACTGTCATAAGGTTCTGTTCCCAAACAATATTATTGAGTAAATTTGCGAATAATTTAGTGCAGGATATTAACCTCTTGGTAACCTCTCTCTCTATATTGATCTCGTATGAATTCCATCAGTTTGTTATATATTCTAGTGCCATGTGGCAAGAAGAAACAACTTCCAGGACTGAAATGCAAAAAAGCATTTACAAGGTCATCAACTTACCATAAGAAACTGACATATTACCGAGACAATTCACAGAAGCAAACATCGACAACCAGAAAATAATGTAAAAATCCATTTTCCATTTGAGTCGTACACCAAACTTAAGCTTAAAGCAAAAGAAAATTTGAATAAACATTCAGTCCATAAGAGGAAAAGGCCTGCAGTAACTTCAAAGAGATCACCTGAGAGGATGGAAAAAGAAAAGCTCTTGATTTTGTCCAAGTAATCTGTGGTCATATTTCTTTGCTTCTTCCAACCGAATCAAGTATTCCTACATCAGAGATTATTGTCAGCATTAGAAAATTAACATCACCAATAACTTGGCATAGAACGCAAAGACAAATTTAGGATAACAGCATGGAAAATTACTATGACAAGCATATGGTCAGCAGTGGAACTATTAACAATGTTTACAGCTTAAACAAAACATAGGGATAAAGATAAGACAATAGCATTGAAAATTACTTCTACGTGTATATATGGTAGAAGCAGGATGATCATATCAATTGACAATCAAGTCAGCTTAAAATGTAGAGGAATCAAAGTTTGAGGCAAAAGCCAAATTATACCCATCAAGGCTAAAAAAATATGCACAAATAATTCAAAAGTTGCCAGATCAAAAAGCCCAACCAATAAAGTATCAGAAACACACAGAAATTCTTCAAGTGGAAGCAAAACAAGAGCTTTTGATTGCACCCAATATCATGAAATTTTCATGATATTATAAAATCTCAGACAATCCTGGTTTAAAAAGGAAAAAAAAGATGGCATTTTGAGTTCACTGATCAGCCCAAGGAAAATATTTTAGATAAAAGTAGGAGGACAAATATGAGAAACGATAACTTTTCATAAAAGGAAACCCATCTTCCCTCACAGTTCAGGAAGCCCCTAGAAATACAATAAAATTTTACACGTTAGATCCTGCCACCCAAATCACTAGAAGAGAACTAGACCTCCCCTCTTCTTCACTCAAATGCATTCTCTATCACTCAAACACAGCACAAAATCCGCATGGTTAACACCAAAATATGAAAGCTAGTGGATAGCCGAATAATGATATTATTAAACATATCAACCAACCATTAGATAAGAGAATTAATTTAGACCTGCCTAAATATAGATAATGAATCCTAAAATCTTCACCAGACCATGGAAACTCAAAATGAAGAACCTGCTCACCAGAGTACTCATCCAGAAATAGATTACTATGGCTATTCCCAATAACACTGCATTGCAAGACAGTACTTTTTATCATCTTGAAACTATCAAAAAAACCCAATCAAAGATATGACTTCAGAGGTGAAAACAAATTTAATCTTATCAGCCCCAACTAGGTTAATCCTTCTATAGCTAACAGGAATCCACTCCAAACGGAGCCAGTAAGAGACCAAAATCACCTAAGCAAAGTTACAAACTTTTAAGAGCAGCAATGTCACTTTCTCCTGTCTCCTTGACACAAGTCCAAGACAATAAAGATTGAGAACTCCTGATAAAGCTAAGAGCAATAGAATACAACTCCTCATCAATAACCCTAAAGATAGAAGCCAATAACCAGGACAAGGAACTCCTTCAAAACAAACTAGCCTCTAATAACATCCAAACCCTTTGATTAAATTAATTAAATATTCACATGAGGAAGGTGAATTTTATTGAAGCCAATGGTAGCACACCTGCCCCTTTTAGACCATTCCTTTTTTTTTATATTAAACTTTATACCATACTTTCTTGTTTATACTAATCAGTTGTGCATTTAAGTACCTGGATTGTGAGATGCCTTTCACTCACCTCATGTGAGTACCATCGGTAATTATATAGTCACCAATTTCAAAAAAAAAGTTACTAAAGCCAAGTTGGGCACTAAATTGGCAAGGCTTCCAAACCTATTGCACACTCAATCAGCAAGGACTTGAAGAGTACTGTTCAACCCTAATCAGTTAAAACCAAGTCCAATTTACTTGTAATACCGAGTCACCTGAGGCCATAGAATGACCTCACTAAGCAAAACCAGTCCTACCAAACTAGTGCCAACTGGAAAATACTGTTTCTCGTAGGACACATCATTGTGTCTGGGGGTCCACTAATGAATTTACAGCGTCAACACTTCTGTGCTACCAGTGCACACGGACCTAACACCACTGATTCTCACATGAGAGGGATGAAAGCAAGCCCCAATACCCAAAAGATAGACAACTGAAAACATGAAATAACTTTGGATGTTAGCAAAAGTGGAATTACAAGAGCGCAATGAAAATATGTGAGCAACAAGATTCTCAAAGGGAACATGTGCGAACAAACTAGGAACACTTACATAACAAAATTTATTGTCAATGCAATGAAGTTCTACATAACTGGAAAAAAACACTGATTTCTGATTCTATCTGAATAAAAATGCAAGTCAACTACTCTAAAAGAATAGAAGCTCATCAATCAAACAAATTTCACTTACACAAAAACCTCAAAACAAATATAGAGATGTCGAGTTGAAATGGAATCTAGTATGAAACAAAACCCTTTAACGACAACATTCTTTATTGATTAATCAAATCACTAAGCATCGCTTAACATCACTAATGCCAAGCAAACCACTAGATTTTGAGAAGAGGTGCCATAATAAAAATAAGCAAAACGAATTTAAAGAGAAGAGAAACTTAAAATATAGAACCTTCAACTTTTTTGGATCAGGAAATGAAATTCCATAAACTCTTTGCAGGCTTTCCCGGTCTACCTTTCCCCTCCAGTAGGAAGACGAGGCCTGCAAAAAGGAAGCATATATGACCTTTATAAAGACTTGCATGGAAGTTCATGAAGAAATCTCAATGCTCCTCATGAATCTTTACCTTTAAACAGGTAAAAGCTTTCACAAAAGATGTATTTGGAATGTGTGGTCCCCGACAAAGATCAACTAAGGGCCCACACCGGTAGACCGTAATGGTTTTATCCTCAGGAAGTTCATTTATGATCTCAATCTGCACAGGAAGTTTATAGCAAAGCACAAAATGAATAACCATATTGATATGGAGCTTAAAAACACCAGCATGACATCCTATTTGACAATGAAACAACTGGTAATGCAAACCCCTTATCCTTGAATTATTAATTTCTACTTGACAAAAATCCTGCAATTTAAAACTTTAACATTCAGGAGTGACCTGAAATAAAAAGTACTTGGAAAGTTGTGACCCATGATAGGGACATCAATTATTGAATTACAACTAATAATACAACAAACCCATTCACTTCATGTTATTTTCTACAGAAAGCACGTCTTGCCTTGAAGCCATTTTCTGTGAACATCTCTAGAGCCTGCTGCCTTGATACTTCTATCCGCTCAAATGGTTGTTTTTCCTGTAATAACAAGGATTTTAGTCATATCATTCAAGCCAAAAAAAAAAAAGAACATGGATCTTAGTTGCTGAAGACCCAATTAGAAAGCAACCTAATCTTACCTTTGACAACAAGCCTACGAGGCTCATATATATATATATATATATATATATATGGCTGAATATTACTAGCACAAAAAATCATCTTCTGCTGTTACTTAAGCCAATAAGCACACCATAAAAGAAAAATGACACCATGGCTCAGTAACACATCAATGTCAAATGAAAAACAGAGATGAATCTCAATTGTCAGCTCAATCCCAAGATACAAACCACATACGCACAACATACTCACCCTAAACATAATCTAAAAGTTCAATCTTGCATCCCCAAACTAGCCTCAATTTCTAATGTACCATTAGCTTGTCTTTAACAAATCAATAAGACAAAGAGGGAACCCCATCAACAATCTCTAACCATCTAGAGAATGGCAAAGAGATTGAAGAAAGACTATATGTCAGAAATTGTGATGCCATTAAAATTTCTGATGCCATTAAAAGGCCCAACAACGGATTGTGCATATTTCCTTTTTGCGAAAGGTTCAATGCTTCACAAATCAACACATAAATACATATGCCCAGCAACACCAAAGTCACGTATAGTACCCAAATATCAAATAAGTGGAGCATGTGGTGCTTCATTCCAAGTCCCAGTATCCTCATCATCATCATAGCCTTTTCCCAATTAATTGGAGCCGACTATACGAATCCCGGTCCGCCATTCTGCTCTATTAAAGGTCATATCCTCAGTGAGACCATATAAACCCATATCTTTCCGAACTACTTCCAACCACGTCCTTTTGGGCCTACCCCTTGCCATTCTAAGTCCTTCCACTTGAACTAACTCACAACTCGTAACAGGTGTTGTGCTTGGTCGGCGCCACACATGGCCAACCCACCTAAGTCTACTCTCTCTTATCTCATTGCCTATTGGTGCCACACCTAAATTCTCCTAAATTGATTCACTTTGAATTCTATCGCTTCTTGTCTTGCCACTCATCCATCTCAACATCCTCATCTCCACTATACTCATTCTACGGGTATATTGTTTTGTGTCCGCCCAACATTCAACCCCATAGACCAAAGCTGGTCTCACAATTGTCCTATAGAACTTGCCCTTCAGCCTCATTAGTATGCGGCAATCACATAAAATTCCAGTTGCACATCGCCACTCCGCCCACCTAGCTCTAATTTTGTGTGCGACATCTTCATCAATCTCCCATTTTCCTATATTATCAACCCAAGATATCGAAAGTACGGTCATTTTTGTAGTTCCTGGCCGTCAATCTCAACTACTTCCTCGTATCTGCTACTATTATTACTAAACTTGCATTCCACATACTCTGTCTTAGTCTGATTAATTTCATAACCTTTGGATTCTAGAGCATCCCTCCAAAATTCTAACTTTGTGTTGACGCCATTTCGGGTCTCATCAATCAAAATTATGTCATCTGCGAACAACATGCACCATGGTACCTCATCCTGTACGTGCTTAGTTAAGTCGTCCACAACTAAGACAAAGAGGTACAAGCTCAATGCTAATCTTTGATATACCATCTGGTCTTCAAGCCTTTCCTTTCACTTTCGACATCCTAATCCTATGAATGTATCTATGACCTACGCCCTCATTTGTACCACCAATTTCTTCCACTGTAATGTTTCCATTGTGTTCATCATTTAATAATTTTTTAAAATAAACTTTCCACCTTTCGTTGACCACGTCATCTTTCACCAAGACCCTTTGATCCTCACTCTTAATGCATTTAATATGATTTAGATCCCTACACTTTTTCTCTCTTTTTTTTGCCAATTTGAAGACATCTTTTTTACCTTCTCTTGTTATGTCTAATCAGCATAAATCACCACAATGGCTCAAAAACAATCCCATGTTACACTTAGTAGAGTTTTTATAAGATCTAATTACTTGTTGAGGCCACCGGGCAGATACAGAAAAGGAGTTTGATTAATTGGTTATATCAATCCCAAGATTGGATGGGCTTTATCATCCACAAACAGATCATTTTTCCTTCAAACTTAGAAACATGAATTCCATAGCGTGCAAGGACAAAATCTTCCCACTACTTGCGAAAAGGAAAACTCACCCGCTAGGGTGGACTAGGTAAAAAATGTGTTAGTTTCTCATGTACAAAAATGGGGCTTATAGAGACTGCCCGATTAAAAAGATTTACATGAAGCTTTCAAAAATTACAGCAGGACTGAAATTTGCCAAACTACAACGGTGTTTATGTTATGTGCTAATGGTCCTGAGCAAAAAAGGAGTCGGACCCGGCTTGATCTTCTACTTGGATTCTAGCTCCCTCTTTCGCGAAGAGATTTGCGAACTCTTTGGACGTCCACCATATATGCTTCCAAGAGACGTTCATAGCCCTGCAAATGTGATCAATTTCGTCAAAAATAGAGGTTAGGTGCCATGGTGGAGAAATAGTCCTACTTGCCCAAGAGAGAACATTTTGTGAATTTCATTCAACTATCAAGTGTGAGCCCCAAGAGTGGTTGAAACATTTCAGGCCTTGTAGGAGGGCCAAGGCTTCTGCATGATGGGAATCCTTGAGACCGAGATGCTCAAAAAAAGTTAGGAGGATGTTGGGCTGATGGTCTCTAAAGACCCCCCCAGCCCCTGCCGGGCCAGGATTCCCAAGGGAACAACCATCAAAATTCAGCTGATGCTGCCTTCTGGTGGTGATTGCCAATTGTTGAGTCTTGATGCCAGTCGCAGTTGATGATGGAGAATATTTCCCATTGACAAAGGAAAAAGCTCCTTGGTATGCCCGAGAAGACCTTGTGATTAGAGGCCCAGAAAGTGACCATAGAGATTACCTTGTGTAAGAGTGCTGAGGTATGGAGTTTTAAACCTTGAAAGATTCTAGCATTTCTTTCCACCCAGATGGTCCACATGGTTGTAGCTATGGTAGCCTTCCACAAGATTCTTCCAGCCTTCAGTCAAGGTTTTGATCTTTTACGAACTAGATTCACATTGATTGAAGGCTGGAAGAATCTTGTGGAAGGCTACCATAGCTACAACCATATGGACCATCTGGGTGGAGAGAAATGCTAGAATCTTTCAAGGTTTAAAACTCCATACCTCAGCACTCTTACACAAGGCAATCTCTATGGTCACTTTCTGGGCCTCTAATCACAAGGTCTTCTCGGGCATACCAAGGAGCTTTTTCCTTTGTCAATGGGACAATATTCTCCATCACCAACCACGACTGGCATCAAGACTCAACAATTGGCAATCACCACCAGAAGGCAGCATCAGCTGAATTTTGATGGTTGTTCCCTTGGGAATCCTGGCCCGGCAGGGGCTGGGGGGGTCTTTAGAGACCATCAGCGCAACATCCTCCTAACTTTTTCTGAACATCTCGGTCTCAAGGATTCCCATCATGCAGAAGCCTTAGCCCTCCTACAAGGCCTGAAATGTTTCAACCACTCTTGGGGCTCACACTTGATAGTTGAAGGAGATTCACAAAATGTTCTCTCTTGGGCAAGTAGGACTATTTCTCCACCATGGCACCTAACCTCTATTTTGACGAAATTGATCACATTTGCAGGGCTATGAACGTCTCTCGGAAGCATATATGGTGGACGTCCAAAGAGTTCGCATATCTCTTCGCGAAAGAGGGAGCTAGAATCCAAGTAGAAGATCAAGCCGGGTCCAACTCCTTTTTTGCTCAGGACCTTTAGCACATAACATAAACACCTTTGTAGTTTGGCAAATTTCAGTCCTGCTGTAATTTTTGAAAGCTTCATGTAAATCTTTGTAATCGGGCAGTCTCTATAAGCCCCATTTTTGTACATGAGAAACTAACACATTTTTTACCTAGTCAACCCTAGCGGGTAAGTTTTCCTTTTCGCAAGTAGTGGGAAGATTTTGTCCTTGCACGCTATGGAATTCATGTTTCTAAGTTTGAAGAAAAAATGATCTGTTTGTGGATGATAAAGCCTATCCAATCTTGGGATTGATATAACCAATTAATCAAACTCCTTTTCTATATCTGCCCGGTGGCCTCAACAAGTAATTAGATCTTATAAAAACTCTACTAAGTGTAACATGGGATTGTTTTTGAGCCATTGTGGCGATTTATGCTGATTAGACATAACAAGAGAAGGTAAAAAAGATGTCTTCAAATTAGCAAACATAAGAGAGAAAAAGTGTAGGGATCTAAATCATATTATATGCATTAAGAGTGAGGATCAAAGGGTCTTGGTGAAAGATGACGTGGTCAACGAAAGGTGGAAAGTTTATTTTAAAAAATTATTAAATGATGAACACAATGGGAACATTGCAGTAGAAGAAATTGGTGGTACAAATGAGGGCGTAGGTCATAGATACATTCATAGGATTAGGATGTCGAAAGTGAAAGGAAAGGCTTGAAGACCAGATGCTTTCCTCCTTTCACAGGCACAAAGCACATCTATTGGGGATCGGGATCCCTCTCTTTTGGAGGTGGTCCACTGTGAGAGCTCTTTGGGAGCAGGCAAGCCAGTTGAAAGTTTGAACCTTAAGTGGGGCGATGGTTGACCCAACTTTCGATTGTACCGCAGTGGGATTCCTCAGAAGAGTGGGGGGCTGAGTTAAGCTTTTATAGAATGAGACTGCAGAGAAGATACCAGAGGGAGCTAGAGTCCATACTATAGCATCTCTTCCTCGAGTAGGAATGAAGCGAGAGTGTAGAGCTGTCGTGAGCAACTAAAAGTGATTGGTTTCCTCTTCTGTTAGGTTCCTTTAGAAAGATGGGTTCCAAACTCTTTGGTCTACTGACAAAACCATTTCATCAGCAACAGAAGATTCTTTGGTTAAAGCAAGTGTGTAGAGGGTAGGGAACACTTCTCGTAGAGGGAAGGGTCCTAGCCATAAATCTGACCAGAATCTCACTCTAAAACCTTCTCTAAGGTGAAATCTTATTAATCTTTCGAACTGAGATAGAGCCGAGGAAAAGAT